GCAATGTTGGCTTGATGGAGTTTTGTTCATAGCTTGTTCGTATATGCTGTGGCGTGACTCGTTTCTAGACCCATAAATAATGTGATATTTCGGCCATTTTTGAGGGGTATGCAAATTTCAAAGTTCCCTTCAGAAACTTTTTCAAGGGCTTTGCACAATCGATCCACACCCCAAAGGGAACATACCTGCAAATTTTGAGCGAAATCGGAGAGATCCACTTGCACACATACTTTGGTATTCTCAGACATGCTCTCTTAAAATCCCCAGCTAGCACCATGTGAGTGCCGTGAGTGCGGGCCATGTTTAGTGCAGGTCAAAGATACTCAATTAGACAGGTGTCGTTGTCCGCACAGAATCCAGGCCGAAACAAGGCACCGATAACAACATATTGTTGCGTAGAAAGACTCACTTCGAGCCGGAGGACTTCGTGGTCATCAGTGGGAATCTGGTCCAGGTGCACCACTGGGAGGCCGGACTTCACACATACAACAATGCCGCTGCCAGATGCATCCCGGTCACGTTGGATGGGAAGCTAGTATCCTGGAAATATCGTCTCAGAGACCACAGTCCTGGCCGAGAAGTTCGTTTCTGTGATAACTGCTATGTCAACGTTATTGTTGAGCAGTGCATGCTGGCACGCTTCCAGCTTGTTGGTGAGACCAAATGCGTTGGTCACTAGCCAGTGGAGCGGCGGAGCTGCACTGATCAATGGGGGGGGGGGTGCCAGCTGATGCCGTACTGTCTATGTAAGCGCTGTCAGCACCATCTGGTGTAGGGTCATCTCTCGCAGCGCTGGTAGTGTGTTGTCGGTTGGGCTTCAGACGGTCTCGGTGCTCCCATGGCCGGGCATATAGAGGCCTTAACCAGAAGTCCGGAGTTATCATAAGGCTCAGGTCTGTGGCATCTATACATAGCTGACACCTTTCCCGTCTGCGTTGTGTGAAAACCGGCCATTGATCCCCTTGCCTCGAACTTGGGTAGCAATGAAACCGAGATCCTATGGCCAGCAAGCTGCCCCTCCCTTTCCTCCACCCGTGCCATTCCGTATGTTTCATTGCCGCCTTGCTGCTTTGTGCTATCAAAATAACGATGTATGTGTTTTGTAAAAACAGTATGATAATAAAGCGCACGCATCCGCCAAAATGTGCCGTAAAGTGTTGTTCCGCTTGATGCGCTTGAGTCTCCTTGTCGTCTTGGTCGTCCTCCTAAATGTAATTCACAGTCTACTGTTGGATCATCCTCTTCCGGTGTAGATATGCCAACTTGCTTCTCCTCCTCCACATGTTTGGGGCTGGAGTCAACCCAGAGAAATGTGAAAGTTGGAGAAAGGCCCACCCAAAAAAACAACCAAACTGTGAAAGGATCTATCAGCGTCACATGAAGCCAAGTGAGAAGACGTACTGAAGGGACCGACTTACAATGACAATAGAAGTAATAACAAAGGTGGATGTTAGACAACGTGAAAGACCGCGTAATTAAACCAGAACTTTGAGACTAGAGAAGCTAGAGTGAGAAGCTCCATGAAGAATCATACTGGAGGAGATGCAGCTGAAGGGACAATGAATTCCACCAGGCCATGAGATGGGTACTGCGATGTCACGCAGAGGAGAGATGACAGGACACTGGAGGGGACAACAAAGAAAGGAGCCCAGAGTGGTGCTTCATCTATCTAAAGCCATCTGTCCACGTATGCTAATTGTCGGGAGTTGTACTTTAATGACGTTTGCTCGATACTGTCACGTGGTAGAGGTCGATTGCATTCGGCGGTGTTAGAAGCGTTGTACAAACTTAAGTTTGATCCTATGCTTTGTTTCCAGAAAGAAAAGGTTGTCCTGTACAATTTTTTGATGCTATTCCTCGTCGATGTGTGAATAATGCTACATAATTTCTTCACTACGCTGTTGTTGTTATGTTGAGTCCGAAGAAGGTCAACTGACGACATTTTCTCCAGACATTACAACGGACAACGGGAACAAGTTATTGGGAACGACATTTATTATAGACGACGAGACAAGAGACCAAGACGAACGAAACAACTACATTGATGAAGAGTGAGAAAGCGAGATTATTGAAGAGAGCAAGATTATTGAAGAGAGAGAGAGATCGACTGGGAAACAACGCAATATAAAGGGCATGGGTAGGTATGGCAAACATGGGCGCGCAAGTAGCTACCCAGGTCGATGGAACGAAAGGTGAGTATGATGTAGTACGGGTGCATGCAGACCGGCCAGCTTAGGAACCACTCACAACCTTGTGTTGCAAAATCAGAGCACATAAAAGATAGCCTGCACAAATGCCCGCCTTTCTGCTGCAAAGTCAATCCACCGTCAGCGTCTTCGGGCTCGACTGCAAGCAGGTTGTGCTATCGATAAAGTATGGTGGAAAACTCTGAAGCAAGCCAGTGGCCATGGACGCAACTCTGGCGTACCTGCTATCACCGATCGTGATGGCAATTAACACTCCACCAATAGTAGCAAAGCTGAGGCGTTTGGGAAGGATTTTGCTGGGAAATGCTCTCTTGTGGATGATTTCGAGGATGAGCCTAAATCTACCGCCCCCTTGCACCAAGTGCATTTCAGGGAACCAGCTGTAGCCCGAGCCCAAAGCAACAGGACCTGACAACATCCCAGCTTGTGTCCTCAAGACGTGTGCAAACGAGCTTGCTGCCCCCCCCCCCAACCACGCCTCTTTGCCACGTGTTCCTCTATTGGAAGACAACCGGCAGACTGGAAAGAGGCCAGAATAGTTCCAGTTCACAAGAAGAACTCCCGTTTACCCATCAGCCCCTACCGACCAGTGTCCCTACTCAACATTATCTCAAAGGTAATGGAAGGCATTGTGAACTTCGCAATCATGGACTTTCTAGATCGCCATAATGTTCTGTCTGCAAAGCAATATAGATTCCGCCGACGCCTCGGAACTGCAGATGTCCTGACGCTCCTACACCATCTATGTCGTAGAGCTGCCGGTTCGGGAGTCTCAGCCCATGTTCTTGCAATAGACATAGCTGGAGCATTTGATAAGGTGTCCCACAAAGGTGTGATTCACAAGGCTGCTGTCTATGGGCTCAGGGGCCCCCTTTTAACTTAGTTGACCGACTATCTATCAGCTCGGCATCTCCGTGCAGTCGTATCTGGCCATGATTCTTATGTCTTTCCCATTACCGCTGGTGTTCCTCAAGGAAGTATATTGGGGCCTACTCTGTTCTTGTTATTATGTGAATGACAGTGACACTACTCTTGGAGAGGGCGTAGATCTCGCTGTCTATGTGGACGACACCACGCTGTATCAGTGTCTCGCAGTGCGCGCAGACGTGAATGAACGAAGCCGTGTTTTGCAGCATGCAGTGGATGGCCTCTCCGCCTGGGGCAAAGCCTGGAAGATCTCATTTGAGCCCACCAAATCCCAGGCCCTCACCATCGATCACCATCGGCCACGTCGGCAGCTCCCAGCCATCTCCTTCGATGGAGTACCAGTTGTGGAGAAAGCAGAGCTCAAGCTCCCAGGAGTCCAGTTCGACACACAGTTGTCTTTCCACCAGCATTTGCGCTCTGTAGCCGTACGTGCGCGCCAGCGGTTACACTTCCTGAACAGAGCTGCCCCCATCCTTGATGTTCGTGGAAGAGAGCGAGTCTACAAAGACTTCGTCAGACCAGTAATGGAATACTGCCCGTTGGTCTGGATGGAGGCTGCCACTACAATCCTTCGCCAGCTCGATGCAGTTCAGTTACGAGCTCTCAAGATCATCTCTCGTGGGTCATGGCTTCCAAGTCTGGCCGTCCGCCATGCTGTTGCTGCTCACACGTACTTATACAAGCTCCAGTGCCTCCCAACTAGCTCACCACTGCGAGCAATGATCCCTGCCATTGCACCAGAGCTGCAAGGGCATCCTCGCACTAATCAGCAGAGCCGGATTTGCCATGAATTGCAGTTTGCCATGCCCCGCAACCGTCACTCACGCAACAGCGTACAGCGATCATTTCCGTCCGCCATCGTTGAGGACTGGAATCGCCTTCCTCCAGAGCTCATCACAGCACCACTAACCCTACATCGCCTCCAGCAGTTCAAAGAAGGCGTTCATAAGTATCTGCGATCTTCTGACTGGCATTGGGCCTCTACGCACCTGTGATCTGTGTGTGTGTGCGTGTGTGTGCGTGCGTGTTTGTGTGCGTGTGTGCATAATTTGTGTGTGTGAGTGTGTGTGTATAGTGTGTGGTTGTGTGTGTATAGTACGTGTGTGTGTGTGTGTGTGTGTGTGTGGCTGTTCGTGTGTGCGTGTGTGTGGCTGTTCGTGGGTGCGTGTGTGTGTGTGTGCGCACACGTGCGTGTGTGTATGATTTCGGATACCTGCTGCTGGGCGTATGCAGTCAATGTATGTTGTACCTGAACCTCAACTTTTTTCCTCCCATTGAACAACATTCCGTGACCGTGCTGCCACCCTTATTTCACATTTGCTCTGTAGTGCTCCTGCTCATTTTTTTCTATTTTCGTATTTTTCTGTTTGACGCGCATGAGCAGTACTGAGGCCGAGACCTCTGGTCGGTTTAGCTGCTCTTGCCCCGCCTCCACTGCTTCAGCTGTCATCGCTATGTGCATCTCTTTGCGTTTTTGCCGGCGTTTGCACCATGATGATTTGTGGTTATCTTGTAAAAAAAAGTGTGTGTGTGTGTGTGTTTGTGTGTGTGTGTTATCCCATCACTAGTTGCTGTGTCTAACGTAGCTGTTCTTTACCATTGCTTCTGCGATGGGCAGGTCTGAGATCTGGGATCTGAGGTGTGTGTGTGTGGTTATGTGTGTGTTTTGGATGTGTGTGTGTGTTTGTGTTTGTGTGTGTGTGTGTGTGTGTGTGTGTGTGTGTGTGTGTGTGTGTGTGTGTGTGTGCATGCATGCATGCATGAGTGTGTGTGTGTGTGTGCGTGCAAGGGTGCGTGTGCATCAACATGTGTATGAATGTGGGTATGTGTGTACATGTCTTGTCTTTAATTTGCTGCTACTTCCAGGATGGTGACACACCATTACATCGTGCAGTATGGATTGGCTGTGTTTCCATAGTGGAATATCTTCTCACTTCTGGACATTCGTTGGAACCAAGGAATAATGTAAGTCAGATTATCCCTGATGCATGCTCGTTTTTATGAGCAGAAAGAAGAATTACGCAGTTGAATACTTTTTTTGCGAGTAAACTTCCTTGCCTTCTCTTCATGTTGTGACATACCTTCTCCCGTACATTGTCTCCTTCCGCATCAACAAGGTATTATAGCGGCATGATCAAATGAGAGGAAGAACAATGAATTATGTATAGGCATGATGTATATTGGTCACGTATTAATCATCGTTGTTTTTAGCTATTCTGCTTTGACCTGGTTTTATCACTACATTGCTGTACATAATTTATTGTGAAAAAGGAGAAGGACAAAATGTTCTGAGTTATGGCTAACTGTCCACCAACGTAACCAAACCTTACACAGTCAATGGGTGCGACCATTTTTTAATATTTATTTACAATGAACACAGCTCACAGGCAAATACAAAAATATTGCATAGTAGGAGCATAGCGATGGTAAGGCTTTTTGCCCTCAGCCAACCTGAGGTCTCGACGTCATGGGGACATAAAACACACCAAAAAGAACGAAGAAGAAACAATTGAAAGGAGTGACAGGTCATGATACGATATGTCAGGAGGAGAGACAGGACATTTCAAGGAGGAAAAGATCACACAGCCAGTGTTAGGTGGAGAATGAGAGAAAAGAAGAACAGTTGTTATTGGGAGGAGTATTTGGAGCGGAATTTAAAAGTCATCGGGTGCAGCAGATGTGATGCTGATACTCAGAGATGGTCATGTGCCCACGACCAGTCGTTGGTCTTCAAAGAATGGTTGGCTGCAACCTTTTTAAAATGTTGCAAGTTCTTGGTGCAGAATGGACCAGAGAAGACTCCGGCGGGCAGCTGGGTCCAGACGGGGACAACTGGGTGAGGGTAGGCTCGGCACAGGTTGTTTCGGGAACGGACTAGAAGTTCAATTGCCAGTTGGTGTGCATGGCTTTAACATCTCTGGAGTGTACTAAGGGTGGAGTGGACTGTTTGGTGTGGGGATTGCCGGGGTGGCAGCATCCTCTGTAGAAGGGGATGTGCATCTGGACAATCCATCTTGTACCGGAGGCAAAGTGTTGCAACCATCCGACGAAGAGCAAGACTCGGAAGCCAAAATATTAGGGCGCTGGTTTGGATTGCCCGGGCTTGCACGCGGTCGAGTTTTGCAAGATGGGATGGGGCTGCTAACATCCAGACGATGGAGCAGTACTCCATCACTGGGCGCACAAAGGCATTGTAGGCTTGGATGCGACCGGACACGTCTAAAAGGTCGAAAGCCTAAAACAAAGCGCCAAGTCGCTGTGTTGCCCGGAGGGCTACGATACGAAGGTGGCGCCGGAAGGTAAGCTGACCAACAAAACTGAAGCCTGAGCTCCTCTTGTTCCCTCAGGTTAGATCCGTTGAAATTAATCTGTGGCATGTTCCATTGGGTGCGGTGGAAGCTAACAGTCAGTGCTTGGGATTTGGCTGGTTCAAATTTCTATCTTCCATTCTTGACTTCAGAGGGAGATGTTGTTCACTGCTAGCTTGAGGGCTTGGGTGGTGGAGATGATGTTGGCCTGCAGTGTAGTGTCGTCTGCGAATGAGGCTAGGTCAGCACCGACTGGGACGTGGTCCTCGCAGTCGTTCACGTATATGAGGAAGGGAGTCGGACCCAGAATACTGCCCTGGGGGACTCCAATCTTAATTGGGAGCCTTTAGGATGTCTGGCCACAAATGACAACTTGAAGGTAGCGTTCAATGAGGTAGCTGCTGAGCCACTGGTGCAGTGTCCCACGCAGGCCGTATACGTTGTGCTTGTGTAGCACACCGGGGTGTGATACGCGATCAAACGCGCCGGCTATGTCATTGGCGAGTTTGCGTGCTGCGCCTTTATCCCCGGCTGTATGCAGCCACTGGTTGTGGAGGCTGGAGAGGAGGTCGGCTGCACTATGGCCATGGCGAAATCCAAACTGTCTTGTGGAGAAGACGTTGTTCGACTCGAGGAAATTAGTTATTTTTTTATTTATTTTTTACTATGTTCACATTCTCAGCTCGAAAATAAGGTTGATGATTGTCTCCATTACTTTGGACAGAATACACAAGAGCGAAACTGGACGGTAATTGGAGGGTAGAGACTTTGATTTCCGTTTGAATATAGGGACTATGTTGGCATCATTCCATGTCTTGGAATGTATCCCAGTTTGGAAGCATTGTGTGAACAGTGTAGAAAGAGGTTGTTCTCGTTCAGCAGCGCTTGTTTTCAACACTCAGGCCGGTATCCCAGCTGGCCCGGTAGCATTTGATGGGTTGAACTGCCCAGGCAGGCACAGTGGGTTGGTCAAAGACCATGATTGAGATACGAGAGGTACCTGGTTCAAGTCCTGCCTGGGAGCGGATTTCCAGCCGTGCTGCAACCCACAGTCAACTGGGAACTTGTGGCCAGGCACAAGGGGTACATGGATACAGCTAATGGGGTCGTTTTCGGCACTTGTGCCGATGGTTGTGAGACTTATCCACTCACCCCCACCATTAGGCGCTGCATCTGCCGCTAGGGTTTATCGGGTGTTAGCGGCCGTCGTGAGTTCTCTGAGGGAACGGAAACGATAATTTACTTTATTTTTTACTGCCAAAGGGTGCGCTCGACAGCAGCCACACGGAAACGGCAATCGGAAAGAGCCTGTTCATTTCGAGGCCTGACGTATGGGAATGGGGCTGACAGGTCATCTTGGCCAAGACTGCATTTACTTCCAAAATAGCGGGCCATGCATTCTGCTTTGTCTGCGCCGGCTGCGTACTCACGTCCATCGGGATCACGTAATGTCGGAACAGATTGACGACGCCCATTGCCAGAGGCACACTTGACGGTGTGCTACCAGTCACTGGGTGGCAGCTGTTTTGAGGTCATTTTCTGTCTCAGTTTCGCATTGAAAACACTCTCGCAGTTTTGAGACAGGCGACCGTTGAGAGCCTAGCATCTGGGTAAGCTGACTGTCGATCGTCGTCAGACGGGTCATCTCTTAAGTATCTCCATGCACGTCATTAATTTTCCTCACTGTGGCAGCAGTGCACTCAGGGGTCAACCATGGATGGTCGAGTGCACAGGTTTTCAGGGTATTAGAGGGGATGAATCTCTTCATACCCTCCAGGTTCCTCTCTGAGATGCCATTGCATGACAGATCTGGATCAGTCCAAGCAATAGCTGCCCAATTGGTTGTTCTGACAAAGTGACGGAGCCTGGCCCAATCTGCATGCTGATACCACCATACAGTTCTTGATATGGGAGGCTCGCGTGATGCACGGATCTGGAAGTCGGCAAGTAGACAGGCATTGTCAGATTTGCCAAGAGGTGGCAAAACAGAAACAAATGATTCTACGGGTAGGTCGGACATCATCTGGCCCAGTGTGTTGCAGCTGTGCGGTGGTTGGTCGACTAGCTGTTCAACACTGTGCATGTAAAACAAGTCCTCTGCATGCTCGACACCTCTAGTTGTTCTGCTACTGTGGAGCCACTCTTGGTTATGTACATTGAAGTCCCAGCAACTATCATAGTAGAGTTGCGGCAAAAATGGCACAAAACTGACAAGGAGTACTGAGACATTCGGCGACCTGACTCCTAGCTCCAACACTTCTCCAAGGCGCACAAACCAACAACCTTCCAACTTGGAAGGCTCAGGTTCGGAAAGGTCCAAGAGGGGAAGGAAAGCGCAACGAAGAAGAGCACGAGCCACGCGCCACACAGCAACAAAGAATGCCAAATGTTACTGGATGATGACGAAACTAGTAAGACTATTGGACATACCGGCCTTACTGCAACTCGACGACGCAGCAAACCACCCAACTTGGGAGGTTCAAGTTTATGTGGAAAACAAAGAAAGGGGAAGCTAAGCGAAGACGATTTTTGACAAGCCGAAACGTCAACATTCTATTTTACTTCACTACACGGTATCATTTAAGTATGATAGACTAGTTATGTGCAGTAACAAGTTGTTCCACACGACGTACGTTTCGCCGTATAGGTTATGGCGGCTCATAAGTTGTGCAAAGTTGAACTCGGATGGTGAGCCAATTAAATTATGGTGAAAATGGAGAAGGACAAAATGTTACGAATTATGACTAACTATCCACCAACGTAACCAGATCTTATACAGTCAGCGAGTGCAACAAAATGGTGGTTGGTGGACAGTTAGTCATAACTCGTAACATTTTGTCCTTCTCCTTTTCAACCATAATTTAATTGGCTCACCATCCGAGTTCATAATTCATTGTATTTGCTCTTGTTTGCTCTTGCTTATATATCACCTGAGGAGAAGGTACGGAAGGCTACTCGCGAAACCATTCGTTTTCAGAACGTTGTTGAAGAGCCTGAGGTTTTCCTATCAACATTTTTCCTTAGCTTCATTAGCCTGGAAAACGTTAATAAGTTCCTTGCGTCACCTCAAACGTGCTCGTAAGTTCAATGTCTTGAAGAGATATGGTTTATGTTTCCAAGTTGGCTATTCCAGGATCGCAGCATCTCGGCTTCCTCCGGAATCCCTCTCGAGTGCTGGACTCCAGGTGACATTGAGTGATCTGCAAGCGCTTTGTCCCCCCGGGCACAAACCACTCTGGCTCGCCCCATCCAACAGGGTGGCCATCGCCTAATCGGCGAGGGACCGTACCTTTGCCTCCTGTACAATATGCATTGTCCAGATGCACATCACCTTCTACAGAGAATGTTGCCACCCCAGCAGCCCCAATCCCAAACAGTCCACTCCACCCGTAGTGCGTTTCAAAGATGTAACGACCACGCACACCTCGCGCAGTTTTCCCCGTCTGGAACCAGCGGCCCCTGGAGTCTTCTCTGGTCCATTTTGCACCAAGAACTTGCAACATTTCTAAGTTGCAGCCAACCGCTGTTTGAAGAACAACGACTGATCGTGGGCACATGATCATCTCTGAGTATTGCCTCACCCCATGATTTTCAAATTCCGCTCCATGTACTCATTCCAAAAACGTGTTTCCTTCTTTCTCTCCTTCTCTTCCTAACACTCTCTGTCTTATCTTTCCCCTCCTTCCAATGTACTGTCTCTCCTCCTAACATTTAGTGTCATGTACCTGTCACTTCTTTCATTTTTTCTTCTTCTTTCCTTTTGGTGCATTTTATGTTCCCATAATGTCGAGACCTCAGGTCGGCTGTGGCCAGAAAGCCTCACCATCGCTATGCTCCCACTATGCAATTTTTGTCTTTGCCCGAGAGTCGTGATCAACGTAGAAAATGAAAGAAAGAAAGAAAAACCTCCATTGCCTAGACATTCACAGAAGGCTTGGAGCACTCTGCTTTCTGTACAAGCTCCATTTTTCAACTGGCCCAGATATGCTTCTCGCCCGTCTTCCACCCTGAGCTACGAACACATCAAGCCATAGCACACAACTGCATTCATCACACCAGTTTCAGCTCGCCCCCACTCTTCCCCTCAGAGAACGGGTAATGTACTTTCATCCTTCCCTCAGCACGTTGTGGAGGTCTGGAACCAGCTCCCGCAGTGTGTTCTGCTGAACCCGTGAACAAGGAAAGCATTGCAGATGTTCAAAGAGAAGGTCAATGCCCACCTGCACTTTACCCACTGGGAGTGGGTAATGTACAGGCTACGAACTAAAGACAAAAGACGAAAATGCTCTAACTCTGTTCCATCTTCCATTCACTTCTAGACTCTCTCATATTTTACCTACTTTCCCCTTAGTACCCCCCCCCCCCCTGCATTATTTCTGTAATAGTTTTATGTTGTTTCTGTGGAGCACTTTTTTCTTTCTTCCTTTTTTACTAGCAAACACAGCCCTTCCAATAATCAGGGGAAGAGGACAACCGTTTACTGAAAGGACACTGGACAACAAGACAAAGGGGAGTAGGGGCAATGTGCCGATGTGGTTGGCGAGGCTCATCCGACAGAAGGTCTCGGAATCATAGTCTACGACCTGTCATCGATAGCAATGCAGCTAGGAAGGGAGGGAGATCAAGAGAGAAAGAGAGAGAGAGAGAGAGAGAGAGAGAGAGTGAGAGTGTGTGAGAGAGAGAGAGAGAGAGAGAGAGAGAGAGAGAGAGAAAGAAAGAGAGAGAGGGATAGAGAGAGAGAGAGAGAGAGAGAGAGAGGGATAGAGAGAAAGAGAACGAAAGAGAAAGAGAGAGAGAGCCACGAGAAAGAGAAATGAAATAAAAAATAACAAGAAAGAGATGATGCACGAAGGTAGTTGACGGGTGACATAGCCTCACAGGGAGTCCACAGCCAAGAGCCAATTATTTTGACGCAGGTGGCGGTGGACCTTCGTCTTGAAGGATTGGAGAGACTTCAACTGGGGCATCGGTTCCGGACACATTTCTTGCGGAAGACTGTTTCATTCATCCACTACACCCCAATTATGGGAACGAACGCTCAAGAAAGTTGGGCGCCGCAAGGAGGAACACTGTTTGTAGCTGATGCTGATGGCGGACACGGTCTTGAAGGCACATTAGCTTGTACATGTACGTTAGAGCATACACTTGGCGGCAGGCAGCCGCGGCTGTTCGTGGCTGTTCGTGGGTGTGTGTGTGTGTGTGTGTGTGCGCACGCGTGCGTGTGTGTATGATTTCGAATACCTGCTGCTGGGCGCATGCAGTCAATGTATGGTGTACCTGAACCTCAACTTTTTCCCTCCCATTGAACACCATTCCGTGACCGTGCTGCCACCCTTATTTCACATTTGCTCTGTAGTGCTCCTGCTCATTTTTCTATTTTCGTATTTTTCTGTTTGGCGCGCATGAGCAGTGCTGAGGCCGAGACCCCTGGTCGGTTTAGCTGCTCTTGCCCCGCCTCCACTGCTTCGGCTGCCATCGCTATGTGCATCTCTGTGCGTTTTTGTCGGCGTTTGCACCATGATAGTTTGTGGTTATCTTGTAAAAAAAGTGTGTGTGTGTGTGTTTGTGTGTGTGTGTTTGTGTGTGTGTTTGTGTGTGTGTGTTTGTGTGTGTGTGTGTGTGTGTGTGTGTGTGTGTTATTCGATCACTAGTTGCTGTGTCTAACGTAGCTGTTCTTTACTATACTTCTGCGATGGGCAGGTCTGAGATCTGTGATCTGAGGTGTGTGTGTGTGTGTGCATGCATGCATTAGTGTGTGTGTGCGTGCATGTGTGTGTGCATCAACATGTGTTTGAATGTGGGTATGTGTGTTCATGTCTTGTCTTTAATTTTCTGCTACTTCCAGGCTGGTAACACACCATTACATGATGCAGCACAGAATGGTCATGTTTCCACAGTAGAATATCTTCTCACTTCTGGACATTCGTTGGAACCAAGGAATAATGTAAGTCAGATTATCCCTGGTGCATGCTCGTCTTAATGAGCAGAAAGAAGAATTACGCAGTTGAATACTTTTTTGCGAGTAAACTTCCGTGCCTTCTCTCAATGTTGTGACGTACCTTCTCCCGTACATTGTCTCCTTCCGCATCAACAAGGTAATATAGCTGCATGAGCAAATGAGAGCAAGAACAATAAATTATGTATAGGCATTATGTATATTGGGCACGTATTTATTCATTGTTGTTTTTAGCTATTCTGCTTTGACCTGGTTTCATCACTACATTGCTGTACATAATATATTACAAAATGTTCCGAGTTATGACAAACTGTCCACCAACGTAACCAGACCTTATACAGTCAGTGAGGGCGGCCATTTTTATTTTATTTACAATGAACACAGCTCACAGGTAAAGACCAAAAAATTGCATAGTGGGAGCATAGTGATGGTAAGGCTTTTTGCCCTCAGCCAACCTGAGGTCTCGACGTCATGGGGACATAAAACACACCAAAAAGAAAGAAGAAGAAACAAATGAAAGGAGTGACAGGTACATGATACGAAATGTTAGCAGGAGAGACAGGACATTTCAAGGAGGAAAAGATCACACAGCCAGTGTTAGGTGGAGAATGAGAGAAAAGAAGAACAATTGTTATTGGGAGGAGTATTTGGAGCGGAATTTAAAAGCCATGGGGTGAGGCAGTTGTGATGCTGATACTCAGAGATGGTCATGTGCCCACGACCAGTCGTTGGTCTTCAAAGAATGGTCGGCTGCAACCTTTTAATGTTGCCAGTTCTTGGTGCAGAATGGACCAGAGAAGACTCCGGCGGGCAGCTGGTTCCGGACGGGGACAACTGTGTGAGGGAAGGCTCGGCACAGGTTGTTTCGGGAACGGACTGGAAGTTCAAGGGGCACAACGGCTGCAGCATATTCCAACTGCTCTACTCGCTCCATCAGGGGCTGGAGGACCTGGCTGACGGCCTGAGAAACAGCCGAAGCAAGTACATCAGGGGCCACACTCAAGGCGGCGGCAGAAGAAACTGACGGCGCAATGTCGAAGACAACAGAGGCCTTGGAGGAAGGCCTCAATCGCGCATTACTGCCTGCAGCCGAGGGGAAAGACAGACAATGTATCAGTAGGGTCTTAGAGGGAGCCTGTGCCGGTAAGGCGGGACTAGCAATGCCGGCCTAGGGTCTCGGCGCTAGCGCTATCCAGCGCACCAAGGACGGGATTACAAAACACATGTAAATAGGCAAGCGAGCGGGATGAGCTTATTGTGGATATATGGGGTGTTACAGCGAGTATGTAGTATGGGGTGTTACAGCGAGTATGTAGTATGGGGTGCTACAGAGAGTATGTAGTATGGGGTGTTACAGCGAGTATGTAGTATGGGGTGTTACAGCGAGTATGTAGTATGGGGTGTTACAGCGAGTATGTAGTATGGGGTGTTACAGCAAGTATGTAGTATGGGGCGTTACAGCGAGCATGTAGCCCAATACCAGCGGCTTTGTCTTAGGTGCTGATGCACCTTGCCCTTGAACGACTGGAGCGCTGTCAGGCGTGGCAGAGACTACAGCACATTTGGGGGCAAGTTGTTCCACTCGTCAATGATGCTGTGGGGGAAGCAGCGTTGCACGTAAGCAGGAGAGGAAGCCGGGAGGACGTTCTGTAGCTGAGACTCGTGGCGCACCGAGTTATTGGATCAAGTTCGAGGAGATGTTGGTGGAGAAAGCTGTGGGGGTGGGGGAGGGGGGGGGGGGGACCAGCAACGTTATTTGCGGCGGCCCTGCCAGACACATCAGTTTGTATTTACCAATGGTGAATACTCTAGGACTGGCCCCACAAAACCTCTGCAGATGGTTCGTTTACCAGCACCATCGAGTACGCGAGCAGCTTTGCGCAGGAAGCCCAGGCGAGAATTCGCTTTGAGTGCTGTGTTGTGGAGGTGGGTCTTGAAGGAGAGGCCCAAGTCAAATGTGATGCCGAGGAGGTTTACCTCCGATAGCTCAGACACAGTGTGATCTCCAAACGTGAGGTTCATGATAGGCCACCTGTGCCGCTGATGGGCTATCGTCATGAGCTTTGACTTTGTGGGATCAAATCTGATCCGCCACTTCTTGCCCCAGTCATTGAGCGCATCCAAGGTAGCTTGTAAGCTTTTCTTACTGTTTGGGAGCATTTCGGGTGATCCAATACAGGTGTAGACCGTTGTATCATCGGCGAAGGTGGCCAGTGAACCTCCAGGATGTAGGCACTGCTCCGTGAAAGTGGATTGTGAGCAACACAGACTCACGCAGAATCATATCAGGAAACTATTTACCGTATTTTACCGGTTGTAAGTCGACCCCGGTTATAAGTCGACCCTTCTATCTGGAGGTCTCAATTCTGCGTTTTAAAGTTTTCACCCAAAGAAGCACTACTAACCACCTCCTGCTACTAACACATCAACAAATCATGTAAACATTCCTTATTGGAGAATATAACGTCCCAATCCTTGAAAAAGGCCAATAAACTGGCAAAATGTGTAAACATGGTGCACTCGTACATGCAGTGCAGGTCATTTTTTGAAGATTCTGATAGTTACCGATTATAAGTCGAATCCCGGTTGTAAGTCGACCTCCACCCTTTCTCCTTCTATTTTAAGTCGTAAAAGGTCGACTTACAACCGGAAAAATACGGTAATTGTTTCCGTCATAAAATACCCATCATCAGAAATGATAATAGCAACAAGGACATCAAGAATGAATTTGGGCATGGTCACCACTGGGAAAGGTTTGATAATGAACAGTGCTGTGGGGAAATAATATTTATACATGCATGAACTATGGAGAGAGAGAAAAGAGGTTAAGGAAACATCAGAAACAAACACAAAACTGGTACAGCAAAAGCATGATACAGGACAACTGTAAACCATTCCACATGCACCAAGCAGAATATGTGCGTGTATTATGTACATCTATGAACTCGGATGGAGAGCCAAGGATTATTTATGCAAAGCAAAAAGGACCAAGACACTACAAGTTACACTATAATGTCCACCAGCACCACCAGTTACTAAACAATCAGCTCATGCGATAACATTGCACGACACTGACCGACGGCACTGACGTTCTAGAACTAACTGGCTAGTAATGTTATCGCATGAGCTGATTGTTTAGTAACTGATGGGTAACTTGTAGTTTCTTGGCCCTTTTACTTTGCATAAATATGTACATGTGCACATAATTGCGGTTGCTGGCAACAGCAGTTTTTGGAAGTAGACAAATAATTCACTATCCGAGAGAGGCAAGTACTGGGCCAGTAATTTGTATCAGAAATGCCTTCACAGGAGGTTCAATCCTGCGTTGGCTTTTATTGTCGGGCCCATGTCCCGAATTTTTATCGCTTTGCGTATCCTCCTCCTACTCGCCCGATGCGACTCAATTGCAAGGACGCGAACCTCCATAAATGCTGAGTCACCAAATGGCAGTACCTCCCTCTGCTATGGTGAAGCCAGAAGGGCACATACTTTGGTATTCTCAGACATGGTCTCCTTTGACGCATGACATTTCCTGATTACTAGTAGTAGTGCTCTGTTCAGATCCTGAACAAACTGTTAGGTCCCCATCTCCTGTACACTGTTTCTTAGTACAAACTTTCTCTTGCTGGTCTGCACCCAGTACACAAAGCTTGATGAGTTCCTGCATAGCAGATGCTTGTGCACCTGTATTGGTCATAGGCACTCAGGCCTTTTATCTAAATTGTAGCTCTCTCCCTTGCTCCCTCTCCCTCTCCCTCTCTCTCTTTTGCCGTGATCAATCATGTAGTCGTTTGTCTCTCTGTCCCTTCCCTTGTTGTTTCCCCATAACAAAATATCTTCAACGTTCTCACCTATCCCTACTCCAGGATCAAGAAACACCATTGCACTCAGCCTGTAGACACGGCAAGCCGGAGGTTATAGAACTTCTGCTTCGAACGGGTTCAGATCTTCTTGCCTTGACAAATGTAAGTCACGCTTTTACTTAAATTGGCAGCGTGGAAATAACAATCATAATAATTATGCCGATGAATAGAATCAAGTGCGCACTCGTATCATACACATTTCAAGCAAACATGTTTCAATTTAAACTTGGGGTACTCCACGGAAAATGAAACTTTCATATCCAGTAGTCTCGGGTGCTGAGTCGAATGGTCTTGGTCCGAAGTCTCTACGGCAAAGCGTTCTTGAGATATTGGCAAAAACGGGGGCCGTGTCGTGACGTCATGTGGCCATTCGGCTTTGTCATCCCGGCCTGCCTACGTCATTGTCACAGGGTCTGAATCTAGGTGCACTCTTTTAGTATTCAATTTCAAGGAAAGATGAGCTATTCCGAACAATTCTTTGTACCCAGTAATGAAGGCAGCGATGCTGAGGTCAGTGAAGACCACCATCAACGCACCGCCGCGTATGGTTGGGGCAAGGAGCCCAGAACCTCTGCTAATGAGCTGCCATCGCGAAGAAGATGCCTCAGCAGCTGCGTCCGACAGAATAAGACGAGTAGCTTGGCCATCAGACTCTCGATTCGTTTGGGACTTCAACTGGTGCGAGTGTGGACAAAAGTGTATAGCCACGCCCAGCCCGCGGGAATGATTTTTCTGGTAGGATGCTGCCGTCGCTGTCGAGAAGACGGCCCAAGGTTTCTTGCGTAGCAGACCTCGCAGTTTACGAGATCGTAACCTTGCATTAGGCTGTACCCACCACAATTTACTTATTTTTGTCGGGCATGGCACGAAAAACGTTGTACTAATGTGTAGTAGTTATCACACGTTTTCATGCGTTTACTCAAACACATCAATTTTGTGGTTCATTATCTCTGGGATTGGTACAAGATCTGCAAAGTATGGTAGTGTTCTGTTGGTGAAGTGAGCACTGCACACAGTTTATGAGCACCATGGGTGCATTTGATCACACCCGAACCCATACTTTATCGTTTCACGCGATAGGCTTCGTCAATACACCCGTTCTCTAGTATACCATGTGTAATAGTTTTACCTTGACACTTCTTGCTTGTCTTATGGTAACACCTTGTGTTCCTACTATTCTCACTCCTGCGGTTATCGCCGTTCTTTTGCTTTATAACCTCTGGTTTGAACATCATTCGAAGAATTCTCCAATCAATCAAGTCTATACTGTTGCACTGGTAGCTTGAGGATGGTTGAGATCATCGTTTGCACTTTGACGTGCCTTGTGCTCCTGGCCGCTACTGCTCTGCTATACGCCGCTTTCCGTGAGATCCACCGCGCTCGGGACAACGTGGCTGCAACAGTTGGACGACATCAATTACCTGCTACATCAAGCTCAAGTCCTACGGATCTAGCCCCGTGTCGATCGCGTTCTCTCTCCCAGACAAGCCAGAGCGTCAAACGCGTTACCAGAGAACCGAATGTTTTCCATGGCAACCCTTCCGAGTTCAAAGAGTGGGTATTTACGGTCGAGTTAGCCTTGAAGTGCTCACCTCAAGGTGACCCGGAGAGCCAAGTTAACTTTGCGGCTAGCTACCTCGCTGGGAATGCGCGTCTTTGGCTAATTTCTTCCATGGAAGCAGGTGAGCAATTTTCGGATTGGCATTCTTCGAAAAGCGCCCTAGCGCGAGTGTATGGCCCTCACTATGACGGGGAAAGAGTGTGGTTGGATATGTTCTCTATCCAACAACGTGGGTCAATTGAATCGTACGTAACGGAGTTTTCTCGGCTAAGTTTACAGGTGCCGGAACTTGACGAACTCTCCAGAGCCTTGCTATTTGTCAACGGCCTACACGGTAACATGCGGACCTTGGTAGTGAAAGAACACCCCACTACACTGTCAGCCGCCGTTCAGGCAGCGCTAGCAGTCACCTCAGACAGCCGATTTCAGCGCAGACCACCACTGGCGACCGCGCCGGGATTCGCACCACCATCAGGTAGCAGAAAGCTAACAAAACTAAGCCCCGAGGAACGTGAGACATTACGAGCCCAGGGGGGCTGCTTCGCATGTCGTTGACCAGGCCATATGGCCCAGAATTGCCCGCAGCATCGAGATCACCCAAACGGTGGACGTCAGTAAGGCCGATGTGATTACTGACGCATCAAGAAAAGGCATCACCTGCGTGTAGTGTGTGCTCCGTCTCTACCCGTAACCGATTCAGTAGCCTCGCTGTGGAGGATGTTTACGATGATGCTGATTGCTCCAAAGCCAATTTCAAGCGAGATGTTACACCAACTATTGAGGCCCAGGTTACCAGCGTCAATGTGGAAACGGAACATGAGCTCCTGCGTGTAGAAGGCAAAATCAACGGTCGTCGCGCGCTTATGTTAATAGATTCGGGCTCGACCCATGATTTCATTGCCGAACAGTTTGCCAGGAGAGGTAACTTGCCAACCGAAATTGGCTCAGAAAACCTGAATGTCACGCTGGCTGATGGAGCATCAAGCTCGTTTCCCATGGAGACGACCCATGAATTGAAGGTTATCGTAGGCGACTTCAGCGATAACCAAACCTTCACGGTGTTCCCCCTTCATCGCTATGACGCTATATTGGGGAAACCTTGGTTAACGCGTAACAATCCAGACATAAACTTCCAGAAGAATGAAGTCAGGTTGAACTCGAATGGTTTGCCTTGTGCGTCGCCCAGTCAAAGCGAACCGACCGCACCTGTAGAGGCGATGTTCATATCTGGTCGTCAGGCTAGGCATGCTCTTAGGAGTGGAGACGAAGGTGTTCTGGCGTGGTTCAGCGTAGAAGACGGCATTGGCAAGGAACCTCCCGACAAATCCACTCAGAACGAGCACCCAGATCTCAAGGCCATGTTCCGTGACTATGACGATCTTTTCCCGGATGATTTGCCAGCTAGACTCCCACCAAAGAGGTCTGTAGACCACGAAATCCGCCTGGAGGAAGGCTCATAACCCCCATCGCGACCTGCCTATCGCCTGCCCAGGCCAGAAATGGAGGAATTGAAGAAACAGCTCACAGAACTCTTGAAAAAGGGTTTCGTAGAACCAAGTAAGTCCCCCTTTGGTGCACCAGTGTTTTTTTGTCAAGAAAGCTGATGGTTCGTTACGCATGGTCTGTGATTGGAGAGAGCTAAACAAGATAAATGAGCCGTCAGATGCGAAAAGGGTGCTTATGGCATCACAGAGCAAATAGAGTAAAGTGCGTCAGAGTGACAGGCTGTCAAGTACCTGTCACATGCATGAGTGAATCTTGATGTGACGTCATTTTTCGATCGTTGCGGGATGAGTGAGAGTGTGCATCCCCAGCGCTGGTATGTACACTAGCGCACTGCTGACATTCCCAGCTTTTCGTAGATACTTCAACCGGCCTGACACTCCAAAGCACGGCGGATTTACATACAAAAGAAACTGCTTTTTTTGTGGCGCTCACGAGCTCCGTTCTGATTCTGAACGAAATTCTTTTGTCTCCTGACCTAAATTGACGATATCTTCATGATGGGTTTGGATTTTTGAGTCAGGTTTTTTGGAGGTGAAGCATAAAAGCCTATAGAGTTTGCTTGAGTCCTTATCTCAATTTGACCAAAATATGCCATAAGCACCCTTTTCGCATCTGACGGCTCAAATGTTAAGAACAAGGCGTGCTTGCCCAATGTGGATGATTTATTCGATACCGTACAGGGCTACCGTACAGGTACTTCACGAAACTAGACCTCCGATCAGGGTATAATCAGATTTGCAATCAAGCTGAGGACGTGCCCAAAACCGCGATTAACACTCCCTTTGGGCATTACCAATTTAGGGTCATGGGATTTGGTCTCACCAATGCACCGGCAACATTTCAATCAATGATGAATACGATTCTTCAACCATATCTGAGGGAGTTTGTAGTCGTGTTCCTAGATGACATACTCATCTTCAGCAAATCGTGGTCGGAGCATATGCAGCATGTCCGGTCGGTATTGAGCGTGCTCCGGGACAACCAGTTATTTTGCAAACGGCCAAAATGTGAATTTGGCGTGGAGAGTGTGCGGTTCCTGGGACATTGCATCGATGGACTGCACATCGCCCCTGACCCAGACAAGATTGCCGCAGTTAAGGTCTGGCCCGCTCCGACTTCCGTCACAGAGGTGAGGCAATTTCTTGGATTTACGAATTATTTTAGGCGAGTCATAGGTCAATACTCATCGCTCTCTAAGAACTTAGAGGAGATAACGGGAAAACATGCACGATTCGAGTGGAACAGCTCTCGGCAACATGCCTTTGAATCGCTAAAGCATGCCTTGTTGAATGCACCCCTATTGCGGCTGGCTGATGTGAACCGACCATTCAGAGTGGTAACAGATGCAAGCGATTTCGCCTTGGGATGTGTTCTTCTCCAAGAACTAGAGGAAGATGCCTGGCATCCATTGGCTTATGTACTTCCGCCTAGCAGGTTTTTTTCTACTGGCCCCGAATGGGTCTCGATATCAAGAGATTTGTCAAAACCTGTGATCTCTGCCAGCGAACGAAGGGAGGTCAGCCACGAACAGGGCTTCTCCAGTCACTTCCAATACCTAATAGTCCTTGGCAGGATATCTCAATGGATTTTATTGTTGGATTGCCCCTTACTTCTCGTGGCTTGGACGCAATTTACACCTTTGTGGACCCACTTACGAAGTGCGTACATCTTGTTCCAACAAACTCGAATATTGATGCTAAGGGCAGCGCTCAACTGTACATTCAAAACGAATTTCGTCTGCACGGGCTGAGCTCGACCATTGTTTCCGGTCGCGATCCCCGATTCACTGCAGCTTTTTTCAAAGTAGTATTCTCTCAGCTAGGAACTAAATTGGCATTCAGCACTGCTAACCACCCTCAAACGGATGGTTTGACAGAGAGAGTTAACCGGCAAGTGGGAGATGTTCTAAGAGCATTTGTGAACTTGAGACAGGACAATTGGGATTCGCTTCTACCACTCTGCGAGTTTGCAATTAACAGTTCACAACAGTTATCTATAGCTAATACACCGTTCTATCTCACCCTAAGTCCCCGCC